CAGCTTCAGCCATGAGGTTCTGGCTTTAGAATCAAGGATGGACTATAAGGCCACTAAGGCTATGAATTTTTCAGGGTTGTTCCTGAATGTTTGTCCAGAAATACCATTGTGTAAGGCAGCCATGGTTGTGCCTTTGCTGGCAGCTGGATTGAGTGAGTAATGTGTAAGTCACTCAGGTGGTACTGGTCTTGAAGGCATGGAGAGTCATGAAGAGCAGCTGGATCTCGGTACTCTGAGAAACCAATAGGGGCCATTAGTGATGCTGCAGCCTCAACGGCAGTTGAAGGCCCAGGACTGAAGGAGTAATACAGAGAAGTTGAGACTTGGCACCCTAAAGAGACCCTGGGCAAGGCTAAAGGTGGAAGTGCAACCCAATTGCCACAGAAGACCTCATCGTTTTGGAGATGCCAGTACCACAAGATGATCACCAAGAACAGCAGCAGCAGAAGCTGTGCTCAGAAGCTGTGCAGGTAAAGTCTGGATTGCCTTAGCGACCCCAAGAGGTTAGAGATGCCAGAGCTGTAGGATACCTGCGGAGGAAAGCTGCTAACAGGGAGTGGAACCAGCCCAAGGGAAAAAAGTGTGTTTCAGTCAACAAAGCTCAAAGGAGTTGATCTGAAGAACATTTTGACATCAGACATGAAGATGAGTTTGGAGTTTGTCCAGCTAGTTTTTGATCTTGTTTTGGTATTATGTGATCTGCTTTTGTATTTTGATATTATAGGGGTTTACAGTTAAGAGACTACATGAATCTCAGAAGAGATTTGGACTTCGGACTTTTTTAAACATTGTTGAAACTGTGATAGACTGTAGGGACTTTCGAAGTTGGACTGAATGCATTTCTGCATTATATGTTATGGCTATAAGCCTATAGGGGCCAGGGAGTGGACTGTGGTGTTTTGAACAGTTATGGCCCCCATAGACTCATGTGTTTAAATGCCTGGCCCATAAAAAATGGCACTCTTAGGAGATATGGCCTTATTGGAGTAGGTATGGCCTTTTTGGAGGAAGTGTGTCACTGTAGAGACAGGCTTTGGAAGATAGTCCCTTTCTGCTGCCTGCAGATCATGATGTAGAACTCTCACTTCTTTAGCCAGCAGAATGTCTGCCTGCATGCTGCCATGTTTCCTGACATGATGATAATGGACTAAACCTCTGAACCATAAGCCGGCCCCAATTACATGTTTTCCTGTATAAAAAATTACCTTGGTCATTTTGTCTCTTCACAGCAATGAAACCCTGACTAAGGCAACCCATTTTGGTGCAGTCATTTAGACTGCCCTCGTATATGCATCTATTTTAGGAAGCTTCTACGGGAGTATGTTTCCATGCTACTCCCCAAATGCTGCGTAGTCTGGCTGTTTCTCCCTCATGCTCTCTCTTACCTCCTACTTCCCATTTGTTCTTCCCATTCTAGCCTCAATCCAAAACCTATAAACTCTCTCCAGTTGACAACCACATGCAAGTGAAAAATTTTATCTAAAAGAGCCTTGCCGGGAAGATTACTTTTAAGGGCAGGCCGTATGCCCAGCAGTAGAGGAGCAAGAGAAAACAAACTCAAGGGTATCTTTGGAGGTTCCCTGTTTCATAATATCATGTCAGAGCTTTTTTCTTTTGTTAATCTTATTTTGTTTTATTTGTATTTTCTTTTTCTTCCAATCACATTTTACCGTCCAGGTTGTTTGTATCTGTATTATGGTTTCCAGTTGAGTGTTTTTTATGGATTTCTAAATGTGCAAACAAGTAGGTTTCTGTGTCTGTATGTTTCTTGGACTGTATGTTTCTTGGACTCTTTTCCTTCTGTTTGCTTGGTTTGTCAGATTTTGTGTGTATATGTGTGTGTGTGTGTGTGTGTGTGTGTGTGTGTGTGTGTGTGTTAATCTGCCTATTAAAATAAAGCATACATATGATTTATTACTAAGTAGATAAAGTAGATGATAGATGGTAGATATTATCCTTTAGAAGCCTGTTCGTTTTCTAATGAGAGATACAAAGGGGGTAAATCTGAATAGGAGGGAGAGACTGGGAGTAGAGCGAGGGGAAACTATGATCAGAACATATTGTATGAGGAAAAAATCTATTTTCAATAAAAGGAGAAAAGCAGGAGGGGGAGGGAAAGGAGGAAGAGAGAGGAGCAAGAGAACAAACAACAGAAGACCAACCTTAAGGTCAACTAGAGTGCAACCTCAGTGTACATCTGCTGATCTTGTGCTCGTCATACCTTCTTTCCTCCTTAGCCTGAGAGCAACGCACATGTATCTTATACTATACATCTCATCTGTTAATAAAAAAGGATATTCAAATCCAAATTCAGCAGACAATTAAATCCTACTATAAAATGATATGGTAATTAACCTTTCAGAAAGAAGCAGAACCAGGTGCACATCTCCTTCCTTTACATGTTTGCTTCTCAACGGGTAAAGCTCTATGACAGGCTCTCAAGAGACATCAACACACCCACAGTCCACCTTTGCTCATAAGCCTGCCATACTACTTCAAAATGTTACAAGTTTACTTATTTTTATTTTAAAGAGGACAAGAACTTTCAATAATTTATCAATTCTGAAATATACCTTTTTCATATGTTAAAATTCCTGAGTAGATATAAGAACTCACATCTGCAATCTTTACCACGAATGAGTGGAGGCAGGCAAATCAAGGTTCCAGGCTAGTTGTGGTTACCTAAAACTAAGTCTCAAAAAAACAGCGAGTGGGAAAAAATGAAAGGAATGTTCTACATCACAAGGTATGCTATCGCCTCATGGTGTCCTATAAGCTCTGGTGGTGACAGAGCTGCCACTGTTCCTCAGTACAAGCTGTTCTCATTTGTTGTCCATTACACACCATGTGAGAACTGGATGTGTTCGTTTTGTTTGTTATTTACATTGTGTTCGAAGGACTGGTGTGATACAGGACTGAAGTTTGAAATAATTATAAATATAAAGTGCAGACTAGGGAGTGAATTTATTACCAGTGAAGCAAACAATTATCACTGAAGGAACATCTCCAGTTCCTTATTTTCCTAAAAAGTAACCACCATATATTAAGTGAAGTGAAAATGATTTTATCATTCTTCAATCGGTATTATTTTTGTTTCCACTAGTAGTATTAAATAATAGTGTATTTCATAAAAGAGGTGACAGTCAATAAAACATAAACAGTAAACTCAGAGGTACACTGGGTACCTAATCTATGTCGACTGACTCTACACTCACAGTAATGGCCCCTTAGTCCCACTGTGTTCACAACTAACAATTACAACTCCAAGTCTGTACCAGAACCAAGGGGACTGTTCTGCTACTTCCCTCATGTTGCAGAGTGCCATGAATCTAGAATATTTGTCAGAGTTTGCAAGAGTAGTCCCTGTCATATGCACACCCCTACTCATTCCTCCCCACCCAATGATGAGAACAAGATGCTGGAGTGCATTCCTTGGGCTAATGACCAAATTGCCTGTCTGACCTTGGGAGAGCCCTATCCAGACCATAACTAACTATCTTTTCTCTGCTTTTCAATTATCACCTTCCAAGATATATAAACCTAAAACACTAGCCAGGTCTCTGGATTCTCTACAATAGCCCAAGGCATAAGTCTTTTATATCCTGGATAAACAATTGCAAAATTCTGTGTTCTCCTTTCCTATGACTTGGAAATCCAATCCTGCCATGTGTTTCCATCATCAGTCTCATCCCAACAGCCCCAGGAAAAATAAGAATGAAGCAAACACAGTCCTAGAGAAGGGAGGAGCAGGAAATCTCTCCTGTCATCCTCCACTTCTGGCATTTAATCCTTTAACTTGCTGCATATCCACATTCAACTGTGACTATGGATGCCATGAGCTGGAAGCAAATAGTGCTGCAGACACAAAGTGGGGACACAGAGCAAAGGGAGCTTGTAAATTCTAGCTTTACCTGCCATTGCACTCTACCAACACCCATGCCACAAGCCTTAGACAGGGTGTGGTTGGTGAGTGGCTAAATGAAAAAGAACTGAATCTCTTCCACAAAGTGACACAGTTAGGCAGACTCTCGAGACAGTTCTAAATATCCAGAAATGAAGATGACACCAAAACAATGAACTAACTCAGTGAAGAAGGCATTAGCTAAAACCAAAGCTAACATAATACATGACATTGAGAGTACTGTGGGAAAGTAAAACTAGAGCAGTGTTCCAGACTGCAGCATGTTCACATAATTTTCTAAAGACAGGACTACTACATATATTAGCTAATTTTTGATACTGTACAGAAAGATTTATGTGCCACAGATTAAACTAAAAATTAATGCATTATTATATTTTGGATTTCCATTCAAAATAAAAGACAAAAATAATTTTTTGTGATTATATTGGGATGCTCTTGATTCATTATTAATTTCTGTATCAGCTTTGCCTAACAGCCTAGTAACTTACAAAGATAATTTTTTTCTGATACAATGGAAGGAAGTAGGTTAGATGAAAGCCACAAACAGCAGGTCAGAAGACACAAGTCTGAAATAACAAGGTCAGTCCAGTTAAAATGGTAAGAAGCAACAAATATTAAAAGAGTGCCAATAGTTAATATCTTTTTTTTTATAGTTTATTTTTTTTCTTTTTTTTTTTAATTTTTTTTGAACATGAAATGCTTTTTTATAGCATGTTTTACAAGGGGAGGTGGTAAGAGGGGCCAGGTGGTGGAAAAGTACAGAATCTTCTTGGCCTGTGCCTTGAAACATGTCATGGTCTATACAGTACACTGCCTTGAATTATGATCTATCTGCTATTCTTCAGAAGATATGGTTCATTAGATAATAAAAATATAATCAATTGTAGCTAACATTAGAGCTGTACTGATAAAGTTTGTAAAGCATTTATAATAAGAAACTAAACAATTTTTAAAACCTCCCAATGATGTTTTTCATGAATCAATGCACTCATAAATGCTTCCCCCAAATAATGATTTTAATTATTAAATGATTAACAGAGTTGTACTCATGAAAAATGGCCATGAAAGCTGCAAATACCTGAGGTACTCACAGCTGTGGAGTAGGGGTTCTGAGCTCCAGTATTTTCAGCCCAGCAGCCACATCCATAAATAGCAGCCTAGGAAAACAGAAAATAGATACATATAATACTTCTTAACTATTATATTAATTACCAGTTTTCAATACAAGATAAAAGTCATATCTACCTAATAAAACAAAGTTTACTAACGATACACAAAATAGACAACAAAATATAAAGTGCCATAGTGAAACCTACTACACTATATGCTAATTAAAAATAAAAGTATGAGAGCCCCCAGCTCAAGAAAACAAGGTGGACTGAAAACAAGGAGAAGACTGAAGAACCACACAGGAGTTGTCTTCTTGTGCACACACATGTACACGAGCATGTATACACACATACACACACACACACACACAGAAAACAAAGTAAAAAATAGTTTGTAACAGCAGAAGTTGTGTGGGACTGCGTAAGGGTATTCTGGGTCATGGCTGGACAGTTGCCTAGAACCCCGAGACTCTGCACAGGAGTTCGGGGCGCCCCAAGAACCCAGGGTCCTGAAAAGCAGTCTAGTCTCCTTAAGACTCAGTCACGTAGGCCGGCCATTACAGCCCCTGCCAAAGTGCCAGGTAGAGGGCGTGACTAGAGGCCTCAGGCTCTAGGTATTTACACACTAATGAAGGCCAGAGGGCAGAGCAAATTAAGCATGCCTTCCCCCCATACTCCCCCGATCCGCCCCCTTTCTCCTTCCCTATATAACTCGGGACTGCCCTGAGTTTGGGGGAGCGTACATCCAAATCCATCCACCATCCGCCATGACAATAAACCTTTTGGAACCTAGGACTTCCTCGTGTCATTGGGGCCTGCCACTGCCAAAGCTCCCGGCCTCTGGAACCATAGACCTCCTGCCTACATGTGGGACCCGACACAGTGTGGAAGCCTCCCCAGACCCCACCGCTGCAGCCTGTAATTTTTTCTCCCCAAAGTTGCATAAAAACTATGCAAATAATAGTTTTAAAACTTTTAAGGACACATCATCTCTTTCTAAATATGCAATAATTCATTTCTGTTAACCATATACTCATTCTCCCATGCCAAGTACACCAGAACTTATTCTTCTACCTAACTGCATCTTTGACGAATCTCTCTCTGCCCCCTTCACTCTTTCTCCCTAGTAGCTAGCAATATAAAATAAATCAATATATACTTGAGTCAAACCATATTACGCCTCATAAATATATATAGATATTGCATGTCATTCAAAACCTAATAGGGCTGAAGAGATGGCTCCGTGGATTAAGCACTTGCCCTGCAAGCATAAGGACGACAATTTGAATCCCAAAGCCTACATAAAAAGTCAGGCAGGTATGGCAGCCGCCTGTAATCCCAGTACTAGACAGTCAGAAACATCAGCCCAAGGGCAAGCTGGTTAGGTTGACGAGCTGGAATCAGGAAGCAGGGATTACAGGTCTCTGATATCAGCTACCACATTAGTATGCTCATTTTATGGAAAACAATAAGACAGCTGAGAAAACAATAAGCTGAGACAGCTGCATCATCTATCACCTATATAAAATATTTTTACTATATAACACCTTTAATACAATCTTACTACCAAAAAAGATAGGAAGCGTTTAAACATATTTTAAAGGCTTGTTTGAAATGGCTGCTTTTACTCAAAGAGTTGAATAATAGAGGCACAAAGTCTGTATTATTACTACACTATTTGTTACTGTTCCATTCTAAATAATTTCAGATGGTTAAGAAGGAAGATTGCTTTAGGCCATGATATTAAGAGTAAATATTATAAAAGGAATTTTCTTAAGGACAAGAAAGAAAAGGATGAGCAATATTGTGCACCCTTTCTTAGGAAAGCATCTTCTCTGGCTTTCTAAAAGGTGCCTTTACCTTTTTTTTTTAAAAAAAAAAAAAAAAAAAAAAAACTAAGGTTTTGGAGGATCAGAATAATACCGGGGCAGGACAGGACATGGGACATTGTCAGTGAAGGACAGGAGTTTCTTTCACTGAGGTCTTACATTCTCTTGTATTTTGGTTGACTCAGCTGTGGCCCAAGAGGGCTGGTTAAATGGCTTATCATAAGTGCCTGATGGCTGTATTATGAACTCCATGTATTGAATCAATTCCTAAGGCTTTCTGTTGTTACACTGACCCACAAGTGTCAGAAGGAAAACAAAGCATGTTTTTTAACATAGTGTTTTCAAAAGTAAGAATAGATTTCCTACTCTGTGTCATATTGGTTGCTGGTTTTACTTTGGGAAGAGTTATTGTTTTAGGATTTTTTTTCTTTAACACAGAATCTCCTGTAACCCAGCATGGCCTCAAAGTCAGTATGAGGCTGAACTTGAACCTTGAGCTGCTGAACTTGCTGTATCTGCCTCCCAATGCTGGGAGCAAGTATGCACTAACACACCCAGAGGCTGCTGCAGTGATAGCTGGAAATGTCAAGTGTGGTTCACATGAATATGGGAGATTTCATTCTGATAGTTTCTGGATTCCTAATCAAAGAAGATGGTTAGGGGAAAGCTTTTGTATTTAAATGAAAAGAGAAACAATCGGTATCGTAAAACGTTTGGGGCTTTAGAAGGGAATTAAGCTATTTCCAGAGAGTAGAATCGGGACTATAGATGGAAGCTATAATAAATAGATATCTGCACCACTAAATGAAGAACTTTGTACCAGTTAGAAAGGCTTGACAGGATAACATGTTCCTATATAAGTAGTGAGTTCTCATAAACAAACAGATGGCTGCTTCATGGACATTCCTACTTGGTAGAGGACTGGAGCAATTGGGGTCTAAGAACATTACATAAAACATAATAGAATGTCACAAAAAGTTGACATTTTATCTGGGTACTCTGTTCTTCAAGTGTGCAGCCAATGACAGCTATAGCTATAGTTATTATTACAGGGAAATATGATTTGCATGGCAAGGTATAAACTGTGGCATTCCAGAACTTCGGAATTAAAGCAAGTATATTCAAGTTGAAATTAAATTTTACAATCTGCTTTCTATTAAATACCTACAGCAGGTATGGCAATTTTTACATATAGTGCATTTGACCACTTACAATATATTGAATGTGTCTCGTTTCTGCACATTTTTACTTAGCCTTTGAGAGGACATGCTTTTGGGCTTCATGGTTTTTTCTCTCTCATTTGATGCTTCCTATCTCCAGGTCATAACGCCTCTTTGACCCAGCAATTTAATACAATTAAGCAACTGTGTTTTCCTCTGCAAGCACTTTTGACTCCCCTATTCCACGTATTTTTATGACTTTTTAGCTTTCACAATTGTGTGTTTTTAAACAAGCCAAGTAAAGCCAATCAATGTATAGATTTCAACAGAAGTTCCCTGCATGATGGTAGACTAGCTTTAAGACTTCTGGACATAAGTCAAACAAAAATCAGAGAAAGTTGGAGATTACAAAGTAGTGGACACAACTGTTAGTCTTCCTTATCGTCTCTACTAAGACATCCAAACCTGACTTAGAAAGCTTCATTTTCTTACTCTAAACTTGACAAATATACAGTTCCATAATATGGGGAAATGTGACTGAACAAAGGCTTTTACAGTGAGTGAAAAGTACTATATATATGGGAAATAATCACATCCCATAAATTGTCTATGTGGTAGGCAAAAAGGAACAGAAAATCAGTTGTGGTTACCATCCACACCCCAGTAGTTAGTATAAGACTATAAGAAACCTATCCACATCAAGGGATGACTGGGGAATATCACTGGGAGCTTTGTAAAAATGGCTACTACAAATCAGTCTGCTCTAAGCAACCATTAACAACCATGACCAAAGCCACAGTGACACTGACTGTTCTTCAAATGTGAGAAAGAGATAACTAATAAGTTTCATTTCAAATGTAAGAGAAGATACAAATGCTGACTTTTAAATAAACTCCTCACCACCTCTTTAAAAGACTACAGGAGAGTGTCCTGATTCACAAATATTTACTAAAGTCATAAGAAATGTACAAAATAAGGTCATAATACACAACCCTTAGTATAACAAAGTTACTATTAGGTTTCATTTTCAGTGCAGAAGACTGAAGGTGGGGAGGGCACATTGAAAAGAGTTCTGCAAGTGAATTAAAACTAAGCAAGCATCACATCAATTAGAGCCTCTTCAGTACTAGACACAGGGATGACTGGGAGTCTTAACTACTCTGTGAAATGGCTAAAGTCAGAGGATAGACATAGAATGCCAAAATGTCACTGTGACTTGACTCAAGGAAATAAAAAGTGTTACTGTAAAACCATGGTCACACTTACAAAGCAATGGGCAATGGGCAGGAAACACTTGCTCCTACTGAGTGGTATTGACTAAGAAAGAGGGAAAATAATACACATCTACTGCATGTCTACTACAAACACAGGCCAGTGCCACCCAGGATGCTGAGGGTGGGGGGTGTGGATTACTGGTTATAAAAATCAGCAAGAGCCCTGTCACCATGAGATGATGCTTTAAAGAAATAAAATTGAAAAAGAATTTTGTTCTTGATCTATATAAAGAAAATGTTCAAGAACAAGGAGTTTTATTTTTCCTAAGGAAAAAATGTCCCTAGCAGTTTAAAAGTCATGCTTAGAAATGACCTGATTTTGTTTTTAAAAGGAGTTTAAGAAACCCACAAATCCTTACCTGCCCAACTCTCCCTGGATGTTTCAAGGCCAAGCCTCCACTGGAGACAGCAGCAGCAACATTCCCTTCATGATCGACGACTACAGCACCCACTGTGTCCAAGGTGCCCGAGTCGTTTTCCTATGGAACAAAGGAGTGTTTACCAGACCTGGTGTGAGACACCTAGACACGACCACACAGTGGTTACTGTTCACCAGTCCTGGTGTGAGACATCAGACACGACCACACAGTGGTTACTGTTCACCAGTCCTGGTGTGAGACATCAGACATGACTACACAGAAGGCACAGTACTTAGTAGGCCTGGTATAATTATAACTCAAAAATATCTGAACTAATCTTTAAGTGCAACATTTATAACTCCTCATTTCTTTACTATTTTGTTATTTTTCTCTTGATCTCAATAATTAAATGACTGAGAATTTGTGTGTGAAAAGATCTGTGATCTAAGTGAGCCAATAAACACGATTGTATGCAGACTTCCAAGAGTGAGGAACCCATTCAGAGGAGAAGAGAATGGTATTCACCATCCTTGAGTACAAGACACTGTCAACAATCCTGTGCTTAAGAGAAACTGAGACACAGTCTCTTTTCTGCTTATTAAAATGCTCAGCAACTGGTGACAGAAACCTGTGTGTCACAAACTAGAAGGAATCTTTGTGTCTCTGTGCCTTCTCCCCAGTCCCACATATTTAAGGACTTAAAAGTTAGAAATGATAAGTAAATGTCTCCTACCACAAGGGTTTTCTGGACATCTGTGCTACAAAGACAAACTACTGAATAAGAACAGAATGAAAAGAGTCAGGAAACAAATTCATTACCATACATTAAAAAGGAAAGTTAGTGTAGGTTGTTGGGTCAATAGCAATCATGGTAGTATTCTTGGGCTAGGGCAAGGGTTTCAAACTGTATGCCAACCCCCTGGCATGAATGAAAGAACCAAGCACAACCCCAGGTTCACAAGGGTAGCTAGCCACCCCACCACTGTGACTAGATACTCAGAGTGCCGAGCAAAACTTATGTGTACTGAGGGATCCTAAGAGGTAAAGAAACATATACAGGTATTGACTTTGGCAGAAACACAGTATTGACTTTGGCAAAAAAGGTTGCCCTGTGTCACCACTTCAGTCAGCATCTACTTGTGCTCTCGGTGTATCTGCACTCCCTGTGTGTATAACAAGCCCGACGGTGATTAATTATAGTTTGTGACACCTTAGTGTCTGAGCAAGTCTTTCTCCTTTTTCAGAGCTGGCTTCATGTGATGTCAGTGGCTGCCACTAAGGAAAGATGTAACAGGAATGGCATTGCTCCTTGCAGCATTTATCTTCTTTGCTTGGTAAGACTGAGAATCAAAGTATAGAAACTCATCAAAATACAATTGAAAAACAAGGTCTGATAACATTCCATGGGACTACCATCAGCCCCAAACCAAAAAGGGAGCTTTTAAGGTGAATATGTTTAATATTGTAAATCACTTTCAATTTTTTATCTTAGTAACCTCAATTACAAAAGGGTCAAATTACAAGTTTTGTCTTCTCAAGCTTTAATGCACAAACAAATCAAAGAGAATCTGTTTATGTGAAAATTGCTTGTTTTTGTTTGTTTTATAAACTGCAATGCTGATCTGGCCTAAGTATTCTACAGGATAGATTTTTACAGGGGAGGCATGATACACATAGAATGATACCCAGTTTGATCTGCAGTAACTGTCCTAGCATTTCAACTGGGATACTGTAAACTAAGAGAACTTTTCTGCCTAACCAAAACACTATAGAAAGATAGAAAAGCCAATGTCAGTATAGCTAGGTTATGTGGATGGATTTACTGTAATGTGGTTTTAAAAATAAAAACACAGAAAAGAGGATTCTGTTCTAAATTAACCACCATATTCCTAAGAGTCTACAACACCTGCAAAAATCAGAAGTACTTCATAAATACTTCAAAACCATTCCACAGACTTCATATACTACAAGGCAAATTTTAAGATAATGAAGTAATATTTAAGGACTTTTATGAAGTGTAGATAAATTGAATTAAAGACAAATATTGGTATTTTTGGCATAATAATCTCACAGAGCTCATTTGTATGGGAATGAAATCTTGGGTTAAAGCACACAATCACTGTTACTATACAGACTTACCATTACACTCTTACACCCCATAAATACTTAAGAATACATGGACCACAGATACACATGCAACTATTGTCCATGACTGAAGCAGGCTATTTATGTTACTTTTCTGATAAAACTGTGACTAGAAAACAACTACGTATACTATAGGTTTTTGGTTGTTAATTTTTTTTTAAAGAATAAAAACATACTATGAATTTTTTAGGAAGCACATCAGTATTATGGAAAAGATTAAAATCAACTTTCTGACAGTGATTTTATTTTTCTGTGCTTTAAGATGGAGACAGCTTTTATATAGTTTTTATAAGAATAATGGAACTGACATCTGTGAACTACTTTAAAGGTAATAAATCTTTTGGGGGTTCAAAAAAAAATTTTCACCAAAAAATTCTACCAGGCTTCTAATTCTGAAACATCTAAAATCCACCACTAATCCATCACTTGTCTCATTACTATTAAACTATCTTTCACTTATACAAAATTACTTAAATATCAACCAGCTAGCTCTAAGAATAAGTCTTAAAGCCAAAGAAGTTAAAAAGCCCAAGTGGGGATGTTTCAATTCCACTTAGAAATGGGAACAACATAGTCATGGGAGGTAGAAAGAGGGAGTGACCTGGGTGGCAGAAGGGAGGGGAATGCAGGGAAGGATCAGGCATGGGGAGAGACAGGAAAGAGTCCCAGAGGGCCAAAAGAATGAAGAGAAATATACAGCTGACAGGGTGAGGGGAATTCTCTAGGAACTCCCAGAGACCTCGGATGAGGGAGGCCCCCAGGAGTCAATGCAGGTGACTTTAGCTGAAATATCCCAACAGTAGGGATTTGGAATCTGAAGAGACCACCTTCAGTAGCCAGACAGGACTCCCAGTGGAGGGATGGAGACACCAACCCACCTACAAAACGGGACCTGTCTTATAGAAATGTAAGGAATAAAGGTCGAGCAGAGACTGAAGGAAAGGCTGAGTAGTGACCAGCCCATTTTGAGATCCATCCCATGGGCAGACACCAATCCCTCACACTATTAATGATGCTATCTATGTTGTTCTTACAGACAGGAGCCTATCAAGCTGCCCTCTGAGAGGCTCTACCCAGCAGCTGATTGAGACAGATGCAGATACCAACAGCTAAGCATTGTATGAAGGCCAGTGACCCATATGGAAGAGTGAGGGAGAAGATTGAAGGCCCTCAAGCAGATGGCAACCCCACAGGAAGACCAATAGTGTCAGCTAATCTGGACCCCTGGGAGCTCCCATGAACCAAAGAGCCTGAGCCACAAACCAAAGAACATACACACATATATAGCAGAGGGCTGCCTTGTCTGGCCTCAGTGGGAGAGGATGCACCTAATCCTGCAGGGACATGATGCACCAGGGTGGGAAGATGCATGAGGGAGGGTGGCTGCCCTCTCAGAGTTGAAAAGGAGGAGGAATGAGAGGAAGAACTTTGTGAGGTGGACTGGGAGGAGAGACAGCATTTAGGATGTAATTAATTAATTAAAAAATAAATCTTAAGTATATGAATGTATCTGGAAGTCGATATGCCATGGAATTATGCTAACAGAAAATATCAAGGTGACAGTCAATCAAGGCAACAATTAGAATACATTAAACCCTCTCAATGATTGGTTATTAGACCTAAAAGCAGCATCAGAGCTCTAGGAAAGATTCCTCCTGCAGAAAGAAAAGTCTCTGTGCCCTACAAGACAACTCAGCAAAGTCATCATAGGGCTTTCTTATTTTATTAGATTTACTTATATGTATAAGCATTTTGCCTGCATGCATGTATGTGTACCATGTGTGCCTGGTTCTCAGAGTTCAGAAGCACTAGATACCTTGGAATTAGGGTTACAAATGGTTATAAGCTACCATGAGAACCAAACTTGAGTCCTCTGAAAGAGCAACAAATGCCCTCGCCTGCTGAGCCCTCACCACCATTAACTGCACCTTATTTGAGTTTCTGGGGGAAAACAGAAAGATGGCTCTGGCCAGAGAAAACCTAAGTCTGATCAATGTTTGTCTCCGGCAAACATGCCTCTAACAGTGACCACTGTAGAGTTCTGTAAGTATAAGTTCATGCGAGCAAAGTCTTAATTATCTACCTTCACACATGAAGACTAGATAAAAACCAAAGAAAAATGTGGACACATTCAATGATTTTTCCCTTTTCTCTGCAGAAGCCTTCCTCTGGGCTAGGTATAGCTCAGTGGAACAGTACGTAACCAGCATGCTCAAAGCATTAGGTTTCATTCCAAACATAAAAGGAGAGGAAGAGAGAAGAAAAGAAAACCATCTTCTGCTGCTGAAACTGTAAATAAATTGTAGACAAGGTCTCTAATAAGTCATGCCTTCTTCCCTTTAACTGGGATGTATTACATTTCCCTACAGCATCATGTAAACTCATATAAACATTTAGGATCCAAATCAAAGCCTTATAGTATATAAAACCTATTTATTTCCTAAATGATTCAACAAATGTCAAAATTTTTCACCTGAAAATAGATTATGTGTGCTTTTCAGGAGATTTCACATTATGTGGATTATAATGGTAATTATAAATTCATACCACAGGGAAGCTGCACAAGAGTATCCTGAGAATTACAAACTCTCCAAAGTGCAAAGGACAATGTTTCCCAAAAGGTAGAATCTCTGTACAACGTTATGAGAATGGAAAATAAGAACTAGTTAAGAAGCTACTAATTGACTGATGACAGCTGTTAGGAGAGAGGGTGAAACCAGTTCTCTATGGAGATGTAGTCCCTAGGAGGTCCATCATGGTCCAATGGATGGATGGCCCTACACACTATGCATACAGGCAACACCAACTGGACTCAGTGGGTTATAGACAGACAGACAGACAGATAGACAGACAGGCAGGCAGACACAACAGACACAGAGACATAAGGTTGAGGAGACAGATCCAAAGAGAGTTATATGCAGGACTAGGGGCTAGGACAGAAGAATATAATCAAAATATGTTGTATGTATGAAATT